GACCAGAATAAGTACTTTGACATCATCTGCCAGGGCCGCTCGCTGAACACTGGGTGATATCGCTGCTAAGCCGCGACACTGCCAAATGGGATTTTTTTTTACGTCTCGTGAATTCACACTGGTAGGTAGCACGGTTGGCTACGTATGTTGCGTAAGAAGTTCAACATACATACGTACGGAGAATTGGGTAAAAAAAAAATGTGGTAAAGAAAATAATATGATAATTACGTGAGTCGGCATCAATCTTCATTTGGTCAGTTCACGACAAAGGTGGACATAGTCTTGGTCGAGTTCCCCTCTCCTGGCTGCACTCAGTTGTTAAAAAAAAATGAAATTAAAAAAATCGAGGCATGATCAGTCGACCAATGGATGAAGGCCTCTCCACTACCGTCATACGGCGTTTTCTTTTCCCCATACTTCACCATGCTGGTCAGTGCGGGTTTGTGAAGGAGAGGGTGGGGTGGAGATAGAATGGGTTGGGGGGGGGGGCGGGGTGCTGAGATTTAACTCGCCGTAAGCCGTGGTACCGCCCCTCCAGTTGTTATTCTTCCTAATTTCGCACATCATAGGCGCCAAATTCGCCGCATCCTCCGCGAGATGAATTTGGCCGTAAACAAATCGATTCCTTAAGTGCCGTCGCACTCCATGGTTGACCACCGATTTCGCGCCAGCAGATTTACGCCTCCCCCCCACCCCCCCCCCCCCCCCCCCCCCCCCCCCCCAGAAACGGGGCCAGGCAGCCCCATAGTCTGGCAGGTTCCACATTTTTCCAGAGAGGGCCCCGCGGAACAATCTATTTCCCCCGCTGCCCTGCGGGGACGTAAACTTTTCTTGAATGGGTCCGATTATCCCCCTCTTCGAATTGGCATCTTGATGGCCGTGGCCTCAGTCGGGCTCTGATAGGGGCGGCGAGCCCCGATCGCTCAAGACAAGTTTGCTCTTCGCGGTAAAAAGCAGTGGAGAGGAGAGGGGTCGGTTCCCTTCAAGCAAATGGGTTCTGTAACACACTCCACCCACCCGCCCCCCCCCCCCCGAGGCTTCGCTGATTGAGGTTAAATTGTGAGGCCATGTTAGCGAATTTTGGTGCTCTCTTTCCACACGGCAGCCGCAGTGCGGCGTGGAGACCGGTGGTGTATTGTGTGTGTGTGTGTGTGTTTGCTGCGCTCGTTTGCCTGCACCGCCTCGGCCCGCGTAGAAATTCACGAGCACCGCCGAGTTCCATTCCCGGCCCAGGGGGCTGGACGTCAGTGGTGAGTGGCGTCGTTACCCCCCCCCGCCCGCCCGCCCCCCTCACCCCATGGCGGTGGGCACAGCGGCACCGTGAAGCTGGTGAGCTAAACGATGGTCTTGGACAACCACCACTCGCAGCCCTTCGTACTAAACCGGCGCGGCGAAGTATGGTCGTGAACAACTCCCACGTGCCCATGACTGGCAATAGCAATGGCGAGACCTTCATCCGACAGTGGATTAACAAAGTGGCTGTAATGTACTCTTTGGTTCTTTCGGTAAAGTCGCGTAGAAAATTTAATCACATAATAATAATGAATACGACGTTTCGGTTGCAACACAAGCTGTAATTTATAATAAACAATATTAATAATTCCTTTAAAATGAAAGGTGCACTTGCCGCTTACCGCATTAATGCGTTGCCCGCATTACATTTGTTCGATAGTTTTTTGTTTTAGTTTTACCCTGCGCTGTGCTAATTCCGTTAACGGTTTGCGCTCAAATTCTGTTTGAGTAGCACTTTCGTGGTCGCTACAGATCAAGTTAACGTTACGCACCTGCGCAGTGGCTGCGGAACGATTACCAGGGGTCTGCTTCTTTTAAATACACTAGGTTTTTTTTTCACCCCCCCCTCCTCCCACGCTTTTTTTTATCACCACCACCACCACCACCGGACTCAGTATATTTTCTTACAGAAATAATTTGCGCCGAAAGGGGTGTTTGCCCAAAAATGGCTATTTAAAAATTTCCTACATATATAAAATGATTTTTTTTTTAAAAGGAGGTCTTTGTGTTGCCCCCCCCAATTCCTCCTCCTCCTCCCAGCTGTAAAATATGCTGCCCAGCGGAACTGAACACACCAGCCCACGTACGGCCAAAACAAACAAACATGAAAAAGTGTTGTTTTCAAGGACCCAAATCCTCGCCCGGAGCGCGCGTGGCGTCTAATTTTCCCCCTCGCTCGCTCGCTCGCCGCGTAACCTGTAAGCCATTTCTTCTAATGGAAGGTGACTCTCTCTCCCATCTGTGACCCACAGAGATGGGAGGAGGTGATGGTGGTCGTAGTGGTGATGGGGAAGTGGAGTATAGTGAGTGAGTGGGGACACGTGTGTATGTGTGTTTGTGGTGAGCGGTGGCCCTAGTGGTTTGCGATCTGCGCTACAAACACGGTGACCCGAGTTCGATTCCCACTCGCGGCCAACACCAGTGACAGTCTATTTCAACCGGTCTTGGGCCTCCCCTCGGTCGACTCAGCCTCAAATGAGTACCTCGTTTGGTGTGTAAACATCGCCACTTGGGAGACGAGACGGCTGGGCGTGGTGCTGGCCACTCACCCCCTCATGTGCCGTGCCGTCCTTCATAGGTGCTTGCTAAGAGCACTTGCCCCAAACTTCTTCTAAGGCTATACGGGGATCTTTGTCTTTGAGCTCTGCCGTGCTGCTGCTGTGCGCACTCCATCATCGTCCCGTGCACGGGGCCAGTAGTGCCCCGTGCACTTCCGCTGGCAGATGAATTCTGCGATCTCTCTCACGGCCTCCGATCATGTGGGACTGGCTCGCTCGCTCGATCATCTACTCCGCTCACTCGCGTACTCACTCACTCGCTCACTCACTTGCTCGCTTGTTTGTGCACATTCTTACTCGCGCCATTGGTCGCCCACACTTTGTCGCTCACTTATTCACCCCCTCACTTTATTCGTTCGCACTATCTCACTCATTCGCATTGACTCTCACACCGGCTCACCCGTGAGCTAGCATTCATGATCGCTTAATTACACTTGCTCACTCGCTTATTCAGTCACTCACTCAAATTGTCATCCGCTCGCTTACACACAACACTCCCTCCTCCGCTCATTCATACTCTCACTCGCATTGTCACGAACTCGCCCACTCAATCAACTCACGCTGTCATTCGCTCTCCAACTCATTCTCTCTCTCTTTTCAAGCTCTTACGCTCACGCTCACTCAGGCCCTAGCCGACCTCCGTGTTCACTCGCTCGCTCGACTTAACTGGACCGCACGCACTTCGTGTCACGTAAGGACAGTTGCCAGAAAGGCAAACTCACGGTTGAGACGAGATGTAGCGGCGCTTTGAGATATCGAGGCATTTAATCAAGAGTCCTCCTATACATGCAAATCCTTCGTTCAGTTCATTTATAAAGTGTTGTGTCTCTAGACAGGTCCGAGGCGCAAATCTCTCCCCTGTGTTCCTCTCTGCTCTGCTCCTGTGTACGCGCTTCCTTCTCGAACAGCATTTCCCGCACCTCCGATTAACACGGTTAGCTACGTACGGTGCGAAAGAAGTTCACAACATACGTTGTCTCGCATCGCCGTTCTCTTCCCCCCCCTCCTCTCGGCCTTTTCCCAAAAAGAATGTTCCCTCGATCGCTCGCTTCAGCTCATTCCCTCCCTAACACCACCACCAACCACCGCCTGCCCAAAATCCACGGATGTTCTTTCAACTTTATCCTCACTTTAAAACCAATTCATCGAGACAAAGGTGTCTTATTGGTGGTGTGACCCCCATCATAACTCGCTGTTAAGCTTTTTGTTTTATTCTGATATCCAACACCTGTGCGGTGGCATCTAATTTTTTTGTCCTGATCGTTTTCACGTAAATGTTTTTTTTTTTGCCGTGCGATGTTGAGCAAGCGAGAGAGAGAGAGTTCACATGTGCGAGGCCAAATCGGTCAAATGTCCACACTATTGTAAGTACAAAGATCACCAGTCTTGCCTTTTAACAGACTGTTGGGGCAAGTGCTGTTAGCGAGCATCTATGAAGGCCGGAATGACACACGAAGGGGGTGGGGTGGCCAGCACCACGCTCGCCCGCCTTTGTCTCCCCAGTGGCGATGTTTACACAGCGCACCAGAGGCTGAGTCGACCTAAGGGACGCCCTGGAACGGTTCAAATAATCGTCACCGTTGTTGGCCATAAGCGTAAATCCAGCTATGGTCGCCAGGTGCTTAGCCCAGCGCTAAACGCTATACTACCGCTCTTCAACACTATACACACGCCAGGTATTTCACAAATGACTCGCCGCGTATATAAAGGTTCTTGCAACACAAGCTTATTTAATTACATACAAGTTTAGATTGCGCGTAAAACTTCGTTAAAGAAAATAACATTTTCGGCTTTAATTGCGATTGGATTACGGGGGGACGAAGATTCCCCCCCTTCTCTCTCTCGCACGAATAAAAAATATCGGTGCCCACGTGCGGCGGACTTTAAATAAATTAGGTCAACGCTCGTGGCCTAATTCACAGGAAACGCCTCGCATATTTAAAATCATTCATTCGGAGCGCGTAAGCGTGCAGTGGTTAGCGCACCGCGCGGACGTAACCTGCCCCCGCTTTCCCCCCCCCCCTTCCCAAGTTCGATTCCCAGCCACGGTTCAACATCGAGTGGCCAGTTGGGGTCACAACCTGTCTAAGGAAGGTCGGCAAGGCCGGAAATAAGTCGCTTCGTCCGGTGCGTAACTGTGGCCGCATTGGGGTGACAAAGGTGGCCGGGAGTGGTTGCTGTGCAAACCACCCACCCCCCCCCCACCCTTCTTGTCCTCTGCCAGCATCAATAGGTGATCGCTAACATCCCCAAAAATCTGTGTGGCTCTAGGGGGAATCTTTGTCTGTTTTTTTACATATTATAAGTATATGTATACAACTCAATGCATGATCGTGTATAAATGAGACCGCATGTCAATCGATGATGCACACCGGTTAAACGTTCATCACAGGTAACAAGCGTGTGTTTATGTTGTTGTTGTTGTTGCAGAAGTTGGAATGAGCCGTGGGCGGATGAGAAGAGGAGGAAGATCTTCAGCCTCGACTGGATCATCGGCGGGGAGTCGACAGCACGGACTGCTGTGGTAAAGGAGCTCCGAACCACATGGGCGCAGCGGAGGAGAAGGCGTGACCTCCCCACGGAGCGTCGGTAGGCACGATCGTGAAGTTGCGAATGCCAGACATGCTTTTTGAAATTGCACGTCGAGTCAAACTGACGGCAGCATATTTATATTTTTTCGCCCCACTTAAATGAAAAGATGATTTAGGCGTTTTGGTCGACCGGTGCCGTCGACATCCTATATTTATTTTAACCTGTTATTTATTACGTGGGGTCACCGAGACGGGGCTATTTGAACGCCGCCTAGACATTGCTTATGCAAATGAATGGACGAACGCGGATTTTCTTTTTTTTCGCGATCGCCGCGAGTAATTTATTATCGGCTGGAAGTGATGAAGTGTTTGGAGAATTGAGACCAGATTGTTGTAGGAGGAGGAGAGACCTTCACTCAATGTGATATTTGTTCTATTGCGCCGTGAGGTCTAATTATGTCGTGGAGACCGCAGTCTTGGCGAGGCGGGGCACGATCCCGCCAGCGAAACCCAACACCGCGCGGCATGCAACAACAAAAAAACTCAAATCGGGGGGGGTGGGGGGGTGGTGGCGGCGGGCGTGTCGAACGTTTTTTTTAGAAGTTTTCTGTTTTCTGTTTTTCTTTGCGGTCCCGCCACGTCCGTCCGTCCCGCGCCATACAGCGCGGCCCCGCGATGATGGATCGGCCTGTCAGTGGCGGCTTGGCCCGCGCAGAAAAGGCCGCGTTATGCCTCTTCACCTTCCCCTTTGGCCCTGCCGCGCCAGGGCGATGTGCCAAATCCTAGCCCCCCCCCCCCCCCCAAACTCAACCCCCCCCTCCTTCCCCCGCACACCAGCGGCGGTGCCCCTGGACCGTTTGGGGGCCCGAAGCAGAAATGATATTTGTAGGTCTTCCAGCCACCTCTCTTTTCGATTTCATGAAACTCCTCGTGAGTTGAACTTCACGTAGCCAACCGTGCTTACTCGGAGGAGTAGCGAGATGAGAGAAATGCGGAACCAGAACGGAGGATGCTGCGAGACGAGGGAATAGAGATTCAGTTGAGATTGAAAACAAGATGCCGATGAGAGATATTCATTGTATCTTTTAAATCAATAATCTTTGTTATGATGATTTGACTTTGAGGTGATATTTGACGCACACCGCTATTGTGTCGTGAATCGTGTGGAGCGCCTCTTGAGTTGCTTCTTTTACTTTTTACGCTCGGTGCTGCCACAGCCCCCTCCTCCATCACCTGCCGGCGGAAATCTCCTGCGTCGTCAAACGTCGGCCGTGCCGAGACGATTCGGAGTAATTTTAGAAACGAGTTTTTTTTTCTGGGGAACGCTCCCTTCTCCTGCGTGGTGTGAGGGGCAACTTATCCCTCGAAAATTAACGGGCGGGCAGCTTTATTTTTTCGGTATCTTTTTTTTTAGCCCCCCACACCCCCCCTCTTTCTTCTTGAGGCCACGAGCACAAAAGGCGACCGCGTTGGAAACGTTTCTGAAAGAAAGAAAGAGAGAGAGAGGAAGAAAAAAAATCACGATTAAATTTCCTCCGGGGAAATTCGGAGGGCTTGGAGGTGAGATGGTTAAAGGCGGCTCGCAAATCCACAGAGGAGGAGGAGCCCTTTCCAGCTCGGTTCTCGCCACAAAAACAATTAGCAAGCGCGTCGGCCCCGAAGCCCCCGGGCTGCTTGCGTCGGCAAGAAAGACGTTTCGTGTCGTGGGTCATTCCCAATTGCTCTGCCCCCCTCCCCGCGACACCGCCCGCCCTGTCCTGGGCACTCGGCAAATCGTCCCCATTGGTGAGCCCCGGTGGCCTCACCCACCCAGGTTCAATGCCGGTGGAGCTCCATGCCAATCATTTGTAAACTGAGGGACTCTTTTTTTCCTCTTTGCCCAAACCAAAAAAAAAGAAAGAGAAATCTGTCGCTCTCGGGCCTCGGCGCCAACGTGACCGGGGGGCCGACCGAGTGAGCACGTGGCAGGCCACGAGACGTGCGGCGCGATCGGCCTACGCCTCGTCCTGCCCGCGTCCGGCCTGGCCCCCCTCGCGCTGGCTCCAGTCACGACCGGGCGCTCTGTGCTCCTTGCCAGGCTCGAAGGAGGCGGGGGGGGGCGTGGGGGGCAGCAAATGTGTTTAGAAGTCTACGTAGCGAGTCCAGTGACGTGACATACGCGCTAGAGTGACGACGACGACGACAACGATGGTGATGAAGGCCCGGCTTCATTTGTATGTGTACGTTCATAAATAATTAAATGCACGTAATCAATATAGTTACTGTGTGGAGTACTACACTTCATGTATTATATACACACACACACACACCTGCATACAAAGCACTATTGTGACGTTTCTTACTCATGATGAGCTCGCGTCTGCAGCTGTGACCCATTAGAAGGCACCGCAGTAAATCCTGCCCACTTATGATGATGATGTCAACGATCAATGGCGGTTTGCAGCGATGATGATGACGACGACGATTTGATGATGATGATGACGATGGCAATTGAAGACGGATGATAATAAGGGCGGCGAGGCGATGACGACAACGGCAATGACGACGACGATGACATCGTAGCGCACGGCCTTGCGAGTCCACGCGGCTTTCCGTGCCCATCGCCCCATCGGGACCCCGCTTGCCTTGGAGAGGGCTCGCCGACCAACGCTCCCCACCGGCCTTGCGTAGGACGTGCGGGCATCCGCCGCCCCGTTGCGCGTGCTGGACATCTGTAAAAAAAAAAAAAAGAGCTTTTCAGCTCATCGGATTCCCTCCAGTGTAAATAAATATTCAGATTCGGTGTTACGAATGAGCTACCAAACGATGGATCCTCCCGCGCGGTTCATTCGGACGTGCCTGCGCAATCAGGTCCCGCCGGCGGTGTCAACAATGAATTTGCCACGCGCACGCGCGTTGTGCCCGCAGTTGCCGAATAATCGCCCGCAATTGCGTGCGCGCAAAAAATTAAAAAGGCTCGCTCATCACACCACCCCCCTCTCCTCTCTTAATGGTAACGGGCCCCCCCGCCCCGATACGTGCCGCTTGCCATCTCCGCAGAGTAAGGATCTCTCGTATCGTAAAGCACCGTGAAGTTTAAGCCCCCCCCCCTCACCCCCACCCCCTGCCCCCCCCCGGGAGTTCATTCCCCACGGGGGGCTCTTAATGTCTGACCCTTACTACCGGCGGCGGCTCTGTTGTGAAGAGCTACTGCCCTTTGCCAGACCCGAGCTCGGAAGGATTTGGTAACGATGATTATGAAGGCGAGTCGACGTACAACGTCGCGTGTCCGACTCGCTGGTTGGGGGGGGGGGGCTTTAACTTCACGGTGCTTTACGATACGAGAGGTCCTTACTCTGCGGAGATGGCAAGCGGCACGTATCGTGGGGGGGGGGGGGGGGGGGCGTTATCATTAATAGAGGAGAGGGGGGGAGTGAGGAGCGAGCGTTTTTTGTTTAACGCGCCCGCGCAATCGCGAGCGATTATTCGGCAACTGCGGGCACAGCGCGCGCGCGCGTGTGGCACAAATTCATTGCTGACACGGCCCGCGGACCTGATTGCGCAGGCACGTCCGAATGAACCGTGCGTGGGGGATTCATCGTTAGCGGCTCATTCGTAACCCCGGGGAGGGGCGGGGGGGGGGGGGGAACCGAGGTATAAGCCGATGTGTCGGATGTATGAACACCTATAGAAAGGGCAAATTGCGATAAATATCACGGGCGAGTTGCGTTGCTGTGCTCGAGGAGTGAGCGGATGAACGCGAGGTCGCGAGCAGCAGTAACGAACCGCGCGCGAGAGGGTCGGATTCGTGAGCGTCTGCAGAGAACGATGGCGGTACCAGGGACAAATGCCCCCACTGCCTGTGCGTGGTGGTTCATTGATGAGGTCGGATATGTGACCTTGTACTGTGTTTTATTTAAAGTGTGGCAGTAGTGTTGGTGAACGAGGTTACGTGTATTTTTAATTTGAAACCGGTTTATTTTTTTTTTTTATTAATTTTTGTTTTGCAATATCTAGGAGTATAAACACAAACTGAGCATGAAGGGCTATACGAACTTTCATGGCGAATAAAACCCTTTCTGGTATGTATCTTGAACTTATTTCGCACTGTACGTAGAAAACCATGATAATCGGAGATGCGGGGGGAAGGGCAACAAATTAAACAACACAAAGTAGTTGTAAAGAAATGAGTTTTCAATTTAGATGTAAAAGTGCATAGCATCAGTGGTTTCCTAATATCGGAAGGAAGAGCATTCCAGATGGCCACGGAAGTGCATCTGGAAGCGCCGTTCAATGCAGCGACCGCAATGACACACACAGGAGACGATTTCAAGGCAGGAAAGTTGGTTTGGGGCTGCTGCAGACCAAATGGCCACGTAATATTTACCCTTTTCAGATGATACACCAACTCAATGCTGTGTGAATCATGCATAGAGTACAAGTCCGGTCTGCCTCGAAAACGATCTTTTGCATGTGTAATAATTCATTACGATCATTACTATTAATTTCTAGCGCGCACCCACTTTTCTGTCTGATTAGTTTCTCATAATTTACGGAAGGTTGTGGAATTTGATCATTGCTTCAAACGTAAATCGACCTCATGAGAGATTTGCCAAACGTTCACAAGAACGACTATTCTGAAATCAGACCTCGAGACACAATAATGATAACGTCATTCTTGTATGAATGCCTCGGTGAGTCTCGAGACTCTTTGTTTGTCCATGTTTTACTCTTTTTCACGATGGTTCTACATTGGAATATCTGGCCAATTCCTATTCCATTAGCATAATGACACTTTAATTTTATATCGCGTCAATCATGCAACTGGCATCCCACAACGCTGTACATTCATTATATATGAGGACCAAATCCCATGTGCAGACACGACCAAGCAAATGAACACCCGACTGCCAAGCAAAATCATAAAAGAGAATAAACAAATTAGGAAATGGCATCGAAACAAAAAGCACAAACAACAAGAAAGTCATCACAACAAAGAAATTAGTCCGTGAAGTCGACCTCACATACCCAAACCACAATCCAAACTTCCCAAGCAAGCCAGGAAACTTTTGCAGGAGTGGGCGGGGGGGGGTGGTGGAGTTGGGGGGGTGGTGGAGTGGGGGGGG